GTGACGTTATCAAATTGAAATCTTCCTCTGTGCTGTTTAATCTAGACCAGTCAATAACAATGCTTTGCAACTCCTTGCTGCCTTCCGGAGGCTCTTAACCTTACTTTTCTTTCAAAGATTTGTGTTGTTGTTTATAACACTAATTTCGAACTCCTTTCTGTGAGGATGTTAACATGTACTGAAAGCTTCCTGTCCTTGGCAGTAAAATTTTCACAGGCTATAAATGCTCGAATTACCAAGACACAGACCACTCAGGGCTGCCACAACAAGTGTTTGGTTTGCAGATTTTCATCACACTCTTGATCTGAAGGCAGGCTGCCTTCCCCACTAAAGCTAGATATGTACATTTTCTCATTTCTCTCTTAAATACAGGCAGAAAGGTTACCTCCTTCCACTAACAGGGTACTAGTGCAAAATCCAAAGAAAGTATACATCCAGGAGAGCTAATGCAGATTCTGCCTAGGAAAACCCTACATGATTACCCAGCAGGTACTTTTCACTTGAATTTGTCTCATACCCTTTAGCACACAGCTAGCTCTCACTGCTTTTCCACGATTTTTTTCTGAATTTAAAGGCTACTATGTAAAAATGGTCAGCCAAGACCCAGAAACACGTGTTTTGAAAGCAGCTGGCAGCTGCAGGAACAGTGGACACCATCAACTGGCCTCTTCTCTGGTTTTGCCATGCTCGATCTCATAAAAAAACATCATGTCGGAATAAACTCAATCTGCTTGAGCCAAAGAAACTCGGCTAAAAATTGTGCCAGGTGAAACCCGCGCTACATATTCAGGGAGGAAAACTCCGGTGTGTAGCAATTCCCCTCTTCAGGTTCCCAAGATAGACTTGAGAAAAAAGATTGGGTTTTTTTTAAATCTCAAAGATTACATATGGATTTTTGTTTTGTTGTTGTTATTATTATTATTTTATGGAGGGCAGCATGAAAGTGCTAGGCTTTGTAAGAGTTTGGGGGAATTGGTTTTTAGTTGTTTTTTTTTTTGTTTGGGTGTTTTGGGTTTGGGTTTTTTTTTAGTGGCAAAAGAAGTCAGTAGTAGAAAGCGTTTCTGATAAGAAGTAAAACTTCTCTATTTGTTCCTTGAAAAGTGCTCTCCTCTCTTTTTTTGTTTTCTTTGCTTTTTGAGCTGGAAGAAGAAACACACACGCTTTCCATTATAGTTCATTGTAACCCACAATATTCAGCTTCCTTTCTCACGTGTTTGAAGTCAGGCAACTCCGAAGCAACAAAAAGTCAACATTACAGACATGAGCCTTTTCTTTTCTTCACCCTTCTTTATGAATGTGCTGAAGAAAAAAAGTACCTCACAAAGTGAGTTAACACTTATGAGGCCGGTGAGCCCCCTGCAGTGGAGGTCTTCAGTCTTTCACACTTCCATTAATAATGAGTTACCTGAGAGAGAATAAGGAAACGCAATGGCCGAACCACTTTCATGGATCCTTCCTCACACCTTGGCTGAAGGAGTGATGAATTGCTCACAGCAGAAGAGACAAGGCCCGAAAAGGGCGATTTAAATAAAGGACGGTACTTCAGAATGCTCTAGATTTTAACAAACATTGATTTCAACAATCACACCCCTTGTAAGAACAACTAAGAAGGGTGTTTAAGCACCCAGGGCTCTTTCTGCCTTGGGCAAGGCAAGGGAAGGGAAGAGAAGGGATGGGGAGGGGAGGGGAGGAGAGGATTTCTCAAGACACAGGTGAGCAGTTACTGAGTCATTAACAGCTCTTAATGACTTGTTAATTCAGTTTTATGGGGTAAAGTGCTGGGATGCTCCCACGGAGGTAAAGGTAGAAGCAAGAGAGTCTACCTCGCTTCTGGACGTGGTCAGGCAGCCCGCCGTGCCCAGCGGTACCGGGAGGTGGGGGCGCTGGGCAGAGCTGGGCTGTGGATTTGCCAACCTACTGGCTGTTTGTGAGGAGCCGCGGCCCCTAACCCGTTCTTACACTGGAGTGACTGAAAGTGATCCCCGATAACAGAACGGATGTGCCCCACGGTCACGTATTCTGGCTTTTGTACGATGCCAAGAGATAAGGAAAAGGTTTCCATCACACTTAACACAGCGGAGGGACAAATACTAGGCTGCTGCTTTTCTCCTTTGTCACGATGGGACCTGTCCTTTTATCCGCAGCCTTTTCTGGGCTTGTTTATGGGAGGCTCGGAAGAAAGAGCAAGGGAGAGAACTTGGCCTCACACCCCATGGAGGGCGCCGGTGTGATGCCCAAATTCCATGTTGCCCAAATACCCTACAGCAGCAGTAGGCGGAGGTCCAGATGCCTGAGTGCCGCTGGGGAAGGAATTGTGCCTCTCCCCATGTTTGTTCTATAAGAAACAGGCAAAAATAACCTCCCGCATTTGTCAGATTACCCAGGCTGCTCGCGTTTCCTGTACAGTTGCGAAAAGGTAGCTTGAGAGCGAGAAAGAGGGAGCGAAAGGACATGCTGGCTAGTCCCAACACTGAAAGGAGCCGTGGGAAGGACAATGCGAATGTAGTTATTTTGCACAGGATGAATGAGGGGGCTGGAGCTCTGGCAAGATTCAAGCTCTCCCCTGTTGCCATAGCGCTGCTGGCTGGGGAAGAAGAGCGGGAGCTGGCAAGCTGCCTTCTGCAGGGGAGCTCCTCACCTCCCGCTTCTCCTCGGGAAGGACTTCACGGGATGGCACCGGCATCCCGTCCTCCTGGTCGCAAGGACATCCCGAAGGGACAGATAGCACGGGAACCCAGAAGGGGCGACGAGGAATTCCCTTCTCGGAAATAACCAAAGCTTTTCCACAGCTCACTCCCTGCCCCTTTCCTCCTTCCCGCAGTGCTCCACTCAAAGGCGGAGATGCCAGTCCCTGGCGAAGGAGCAAGAGTTCTCTCGCGGTCAGAGTCACGCCAGGTCTGGGCTATGCTAAATCCATACTACTTAAACCAGAGATGTACAACAGGCTCAGCTGAGCAGGGCAAAAGTCTTCCTTGTGCTCTCTCACATCTAACATTTTCCATATTAAAATAAAGCCTCCAACTGTTTCCTACCTGCTTCTAGGGCTTAGAGATGGGTTGGTGACAGTTCTTTTGGAAGACACAACAAAGCATGAGGAGATTCAGAAACGGACTCGTACTTCTCTGCTACAAGTAATGTAGTGAGCACCACCCGTTAACCGAGCGTGTCCCCAGGAGGTCACCGGGAAAGGACGTTAATCCTCTGGTGGGCAAGTCGCCGGGTCCCGCTGTGCCAGTTCCTCAGCCATGAGTTATTTATCGAGTCTGATCATCACCAAAGCGTTGCTCTCCAGGGCTCTCTGTATAGGTACACGGGACTAGCAATTCGGGGAGAATGCTAATCTAAAGGAGGAAAACCCACCTCTTTCTGACGGTGTGGACAGGAAGACGTTTGTTTACACAGCTACCCTTGAAAGTAATTCAGGTTCACAGAACCCGACCCTCGGCACCGGTTAGAAACCCCAGTTCGTGGAAAGACAGCCGGACAGTGCCAACTACAGACAAGCCAGCTCTAATTTCACGGACATGATTACGGATTAGACTGAATGCAAAATAAAGCCTGCGATGATATATGGAACCGCTTAGCTATGTCCAAACAAACCAGCATTCCTGAAGACGGTTGCTAAGAGCAACGTACTTGAAGCACCACCTTTAGACCAGATGGAAGCAGAAAAGAAGTGCTACCAGGAATTCAGCACACGAGATCGATAACAGCCTGGTGACGTTTTCACCATTACCCATCTCACTCTCCACGTAATAGTGGGGGGAAGTGGACTGGCGGGGGTGTGTTAAACACAGTTAGATACAAACCAAGGCACTACTCCCAGGCGAATAGAAGACCTTTCAGTGCACTGCAGAAATGGATGTAGCAACTGCTACAGTTTATCACGGCCAGAGCGAATGCGGGAGATCCGCTCTTTCCTGCTCCCGCCGTGCTGTCGGTAGGTATGGAGCATGCCGCTTGCCTGGGGAAGCACCTTTCAGTCGGTTCCCCCACCCCCCACCCCGCGCCACTCCCCGCGGAGCGCGGCGCTCCGCCCGCCGTGCCCGGGGGTCGCGAAGGCGGGCGCAGAGATCCCTCCGTGGCTCTCCTCGGAGGGCTTTCCCTGGGCGCACAGCCCGCTCGGACCCGTGTTTAACTTTCATCTCTGTTCTCCCTCACTGCGAGACTTTTATAAGGGATAGAGCGGCTGAGATCTCTCCCTCACTTTCTCCCTTACACACACGTACACGCGGGCGTGTACACAGGCAGAGCTTTTAGGCAAGTTTCATAGTCCAGCTAGGATAGTCTTTAAATAGTAAAACCGCTCTACTCCCCTTGATTTTTCCTAGATCTTCTGATCTATGAATATTCCTTTTCTTATATTTTGTTTTTCCCCCCAGGGGAGAAACTTCTACAACTTTCCTCGCATAGAAAAGTGGTGGATTTCAAACGTATCGCAAAGGCTCTTTCACCGTTCAAGACATAAATCAGTTCTTTCCTGACCCTAAGCGCCACTGTAAGTGGCAAGCAGGTAGGCAGGCGCTTCGAGGGAAATCAGCCCCAGAGTCTGAAATCCCAGTTTCGCTCCCACGCGGGATTGGCTCGTGTGGACCGGGGACAAGAGACCGAAACTTAACAACTAGTTGACAGGTTTTTAACGGATCAAGCACTGTATTAGCCATGCTTTCCACTACTATGGGAACAAAAAAGGCACATTAAGAGAAAGCCACGCAAGCCGCGCAGAGCCTTAGGCGAACGTGTTTGCCAGTCATTTTTCTCTCTATTGTTATTCTAATTATAATCATCGTGCCGTTACTACGGCTACAATGAGCTGCAGCGACAGAAAAAAAACACGCAGCAATTCATCCCTCTGGATGCAAAATAAACACGGACTTTAGTGCCTGACTCCGGCGGCACGTCCCAGCGCCCTCTCCCCCAGCACTCCCTTCCGAGGCAATCCCTACGTAAACCACATTCAGGTTTAAAAGCACAATGAAAAAAGTGTCGAGAAATCTTACCAAATCTTAACACATGTGTAGTTCCTTGAGAATATCCAATCCACAGTAAGCAAAAAAGGAGTCTAATGGTGCATCTGAAGACTGAATTACTTAGAATAGGGGAAATAATCTTCATGATGTTTCTATGCACACACTCGCTGCCTTACTTCCCCCTTCTAAGCCGTCAGGTTTCCCGGTAGGGTGAGAATAAGGATACGTAAACTGATGGCCCTCAGACACAATCACGGCATGGTCACAGAGACAGGAGAGAGTCTACGCTTCCCAAACCCATTAGCAATCCCTTCATGTTCTTCATTCACTGCGCCAAGGAGCAACCTTCAACTGCAAGGAATGGTGGGACATCCATGTTAGTCGGCGGAGAATCCTTGAGAAATCCAAACACACACAATGTCCAGCTGAGTAACCTGGGAGGCAAGAAAGGAGGAAAATCAATAGGTAATCCAGCTCGAGAAATCGCTGAGGTATCGCCACACAGTGAACACCAGCCGTTTCAGTGGCGAAGCTTTTGCTGTGCTCCCATTCTACTGCACTGCTGCACAGCTTCTGACGCGAAGCCAAGATTAAGTGAGAGAAATTGAGATAGCTCTTCTCTTCTTAAGGCTGCCTGCCAGACAGCCTTCCCAATTTCTGTTATGCAAGCAATCTGATCGCCTAGCCTTGTTGGAGGGAAAAAAAAAAAAAACAACCGCCCGGTTTTCTTTACATGCTTCTAATTGCTATTAGGATTTGTGTTGCTCTGAACAATAGCTATAAGGGTCTGTAGCGGCGGGCGGGGGGGGGGGGTAGGAGGGCTATAGGGGAGAAGAGAATCGGTTGTATAAAACTCAATTCATGCATTTTAATAGCTGACTGAGTGGAAATCATTTAGGTTTAGAGTTATGAAAGAGAAGGCTGACAATAAAGTCAAGCAGGTTATTGGAGTAACATTTAGAGGAAAAAAAATAATTTCACTATTACTCATGCTAATGCATGAAATAAGGTAAATGCAGTGGTTTGTATACTGACTGTCCTTAGGAACTTGCTCCAGACTCAGTTATTCCAGAGCACGAGTCTGCTTGTGCGAGGTAAACAGGAATCAGCAGCACTAGGACAGCCTTGCTGAAGTGAAATGAACCTGTTTCACTCAACTTGCTTGAAACTGCAATGTTGCTTAAAAAGGCAGTAACTTGGAGATTTAGCAATTGATGTTTTGGTCTCTATTCTGCGACTCTCTTATTTTGCACTCTGCTTTCCTTTCACTCCAGTATTATGGAAATATTGCTGTTCCTCACTGTCCTGAGAAGTCTGTGTAGTTTGTCATTTTGCAGTCCTCAGTGAAAACAACAGCACTTCCGAGTTTGATAATGGAATACTGAGTTTGTATCTGCAAATACAGCCACAGACTTTAGTCTTTTGCCCAGGTGTTCCAAAGAAGATAAACTCACTCTGTGGACTACCTGAGATTTTCCTTGGAAATACAGTCAGTTGTGTGCCTGATCCATTAAAATACATTGAACCAGGACTGTCAGACTTTGTGATCTAAGTGAAGCTTTTGCTGAACCCACTTAAGCTTTGTTACAAACATTAAAAGATAATTCCTAGAATCCCCACCAGGAAAATGAATTAATTTTACTCTACATTCTGCCTACAGACATCTTTTGTCTCCTTTATCTCTCTCCCTGCCTTTTATTACTAAAGAAAATATCACGGAGAGACCTCCCCCATAGATACATGCAGATGAACACAGAATAAACCTGACTTTACAGAAACAAATACAGAAAATGCCACGCTAATGAGAACACTGTAGAACCTATCAGGAGTAGAGCATGGCAGAGATGAGTTGCAGCTTCTTCTTAAATAACATCTATATATTGTAGACATGTAAATAAGTAACAGCAGCATTTAAGTTATAACCTGTAACATTGGTGCTATGTATCACTAGAAGTGTTAGCAATTCACGGTAACTTTTTATCATTATGGCTTACTGATTTCCTCTGCATGCATTTACTTAAAACACTGTAAAACACTGATGAAAAGAAATGTATAATCTGCCAAGGTATTATTAAACATCATTGATTTTTGTTTCTAAGATGGAGGCATAACTGCAGTGTCAAAAATAAGTATCATGAATGGCTAGTTCTGCAGTCTAGCAGGGAATTCAATCAGAGGATTTGAGTATTGGAGCACATTAAAAAGAGCACCTAGTGTTAAAAGCAAGGATATCTAGCGACTCCTTCAGTTCACAGTTAGAATATCTCCCGGTAAAAATGCAGAGAGATTATTTTTCTTGTATTTTCTATTTTGTTTATTCTCTTTTATTCGTTCGTATTTTATCTTAGTCCAAGGAGAAATAAACCCAACACAAGTGAATACTGTGAACATTCATTGATTCCCTCCTCTTTCCCCTGGTTTTCCTGAAATAAAGGATGCTAGGCATCTTTAGATACGTTTTAAATTGTGAGTGCTGAGATGTAGCTTCCTGTATAAACGATTTAATTTTTTTAATTTAGTTTTGGTGAGAATTTAAAAAAATATAATATTCAAAATACTATATTCATAGTCAGCTTTAGAACATTAGACAAGACAAACTTTGGGCAAAGTAACTCCTGTTATCAGTCTGATTTTCTAAGGTGTCTTAAAAAAATAAATAATACAGCTACCTGTAATCTATACCCAACTCAGTCAGCACCTAACTCACTGAGGCATTTATAAAGGGGATCATAAGACGACTTAATTCCTTTTACTATTAAATATGCAGCAGCCCACTCTGCAAACCCTGGTTGCCTTGCCCAAGTCTCAGGCCGAGTTTCGCTTCCCGCGCATCTCGCTTCCCGCATCCCGCCGCCGGCGGCGGCCTCAGCACTGCGGACAGCGCCCTGCGCGGACCCTTCAGTACCGCGGAGAGCGCCCCCAAACCTGCCACAGGGCTCCCGCCGCAGGCCCTTGTAGGTGTGGAAACGCCAGTCTGCTTCCCTTCCAGTCACTTCACAGCACGGAAAACAAATTGAAATATGTTATCGGCTTTTTTTAAGGCACATATTATACTGTCGATTATGTTAGCTGGCTATTTCATGGCATTCTACAGGTTCAGACGGTGTACCACTCTTCTTATCTGCTGCAACGCATTGCTTCCTGCTCTGTATTGACATACCTCACCCTTTCTTTCAAAGCCTACCTCCCACCTTGAAAGAAAATTGTAGTTAAACCAGAATTATTTCCTCAAGAATATCAGTTCCTTATCAAAAAGTAAATCTTGCAAGACTTCAGATGTTTAGAAATATTTGGTGACTAAATATTTGGTGACTGAAGATCACTTATAGACTATACAATTAAGTAAAGATGCTGACTTTACCACCCTAGATTCTTTCTCTGTTGATTAGACTTTAGCTTAATTTCTCCTTTGGGGAAGGGAGGGAAAAGGAAGTGTAACCTTTGAAGAGAAACTTTTGTCCACCCTTCAGAATGATTTCAATATGAAAGAAGGTAAAGGTTTTTAATGCCTTGCATATTTTCTTCCCTGTGAGACATACAGTTCAAAGTTTGGAAATCTGTAATAAAATGCTGTACTGGAGAAGCTGGTCTTGTGTTTTGGGGGCTTGTCACCACTGCTACACAGTTCTTTTCAGATTAAAGTCTATGAAACTGCCCTCCACACTTCAGTGGCCAGCAACTGGGATATCTACAATTCCTTGAATAAATGTTTTTATCTGTTTTACATTTTGGTCATCTATCATAGACATGGTGATAACACATCTTTAATTTTCAAGGACCATGATCAAATGGCACGAAAAACAGTATTTCCCAGCTATAGACCAGGAAAGAAGAACAGACAATCTGAGGCCTTTAAATCTTTTCTGGGTAATAAAAGTCCACTAAATTTTAAGGTATGTGTCAGGTGTAAATGGTGATCTTATGTATATAAAGTTTCATTTGGAAAGGAGAGATACATGATTCTGATTAACTTACTTATTATATAGAGTGCTTTTTTCTTCAGACCTTATTCTTACGTGCTGTTATCACAGTAAAAGTTAACCCAGTTCCAGCTAGCTGCCACCTACTGGGATGTACAGTTTTACCATATTACTTTAAAAAAAAATGTCTTTCATTTTCAGGTCATAGCTGTGCCTGTAAGAATCTATAAGATTTTTACATCAGTTAATCTGGTGTTTTGTTCTCTCCCAACAATAACTGATATATATTTACTATGTGTATAACATGCAGCCCCCAAAGCTTTGTTTCTTGGACATTTTTCAGCAAATGCTTGCAAACGCTTCTCGTTCACATGCCACCACAGTCCTCCTGCTGTTGCAGTCTGGTGTGAGGAGAGCCATAGCTTACCATAACACTTGATCAGCATCTCCAGATCTTCAGAAACAAGTACTGCAGCTTTGCTGACAAAGCAGCAACACAGTCCTCCCTTTTTAAACGTTTGCCAAAGTAGTCAAATTAATGTTGATATTATAATTTAAAAACACACTGTCATCCACTTGTACTTCACTCCCGTCAGCTATAAAAACCATAGGTTCTCCTCTGTCTGTTATTAGGTCAGCTCAAATTTACAACCAAGTTTCTGCTGCACTCATAATTAATTACATTTTAAGATGGTAATTAATTTTTAGCTAGTGGAAGGACGTGTATTCTAATTAACAAACTGAGCATTCAATAGGCTTACTTGTTCAGGCACTTTGGAGTATCACAGCAATACACTTTCCTAGCAGGTTTTAAGCTACAAGAACAAACATTAATGACAGCTACAGATCAGCCTTTCCTCCCCTCAGTATGCTTTGGGACTGGGGAAGCTGTGAGAGATTTGGGGAGGAGAAGTAGGATGTTTAATGTTTTCCATGCTTTACTCTCCAAAAAGTTTCTAAGAAGAGCGTGAAGATGCGGTTTCATTAGTGTATGCATTCCTTTTCAGTGCACACACGGGTCTTGCAATCATGCCTCCGCTCCGTAGGCAGGAATGTCTTTTGTTTCACATAGAGAACGTCAGCGCCCAGGCTGAGTTAGCGATGGATGCTTAACCAAAGAATGCTGAATTTGTTAAGAAATAAATGACAGGATTGCTGACAAGCCCAAAGAGGGGCTAGCTGTGCCTTTGGGAGAGATAAAAGGGGAGGCCGGGGAGACGAGAGTGTAGGGGTAGGAGCTTCAGACGGTTATCCACCCACAACTCTAGCAAAGTTAGAGCCCGTTTCTCACCTCCGCTTCTCCAGGAGAGCGGGGGAAACATCCTTAAGGCTGCCGGCTCGGTCGCCCTGGGCCCGGCCCTGGAGCAGCGCTCCAGCTGTGGGGGCAGTTCCGAGCTCCGGCAGGAGCCCGGCTGGATCATCGGTAGCTGCGCTGCCTTGTCCTCCCGGCTCCGCTCCCCACCTCCAGCGTCTGCGGTGCAGAGCAAAGGAGGGAGGAAGGAGGAGAGAGGTTTTCTTGCTCCACAGGAAGAGCAGACCAGGGCGGCAGTAGTCGGCCAGCCCAGCAGCGCTTGGGTCCGCCACCTCAGCGCCCGCCTTTGCCCGAAGACACCTGGCCGAGAGACACCGCGGTGTTCGGCTCTACAGGGAAGCTGCTCGTGCCGCTTCCCTGCCCCGACTCCCCCCGCAGCCCCTCACTTGCATGCAACCCGTCTGGCCGTGGCGGCCAGCCGGAGACCCCGGGACATCCTCCTACCTTGAGCTGCGGGCGGGAAAGCGGGGAGGGAGAGGAAGGCGGGGTAAGGAAGGGCGGTGGCAGGACGCCGGGGACTGCTCGGGTTGCGGTGCAGCTGGCGTCCGGGCACCACTGACGGCGGCAGCAAGCGGCGGCCGAGCGATGGAGGGAGGGAACGAGAAAGGGAGGGAGAGAGGAGGGAGAAAGGGAGGGGAGAAGGATGGAAAGAAGGACAGAGATCCGCCTCCTGTCGGGAGCGCTGCACAGCGCCCTTTAAAGGAGCAGAAAGCCGCTTTATCCGCGGCTGCCGCTGCTGACTCCCCTCAACGCCTCGCCTCGCCGCCGCCCGTCCGCCAACCCTGCTGGCCACCGCACGGTTGACGGCACCGCACGGCCACCGCACCATGGGCGGGCGCAAAGCAGAAGCGCTCCCACCCTGATCACTCTCCGACCCCCACAACACCCTCGGCGGAGGAGCCCAGCTCGTTCGGCGGCGAATTTCCAGGGCTTTAAAAGGCCGAGCTCCTAATGGGGGTCCCCCGATCCTGTTCTGTAAACATGGGGATGCTGGATACTGCGGCCTTGCGAATCGGCTCTCGGAGACCCCTGAGCGTCTTCATTTTGCCCCGTGGGTGATAGAGGGGGAGGATGTGGCAGAGCGCGAAGCGCCCCTACCGCAGCCTGCAGGGGGGAGAGGAGGAAGGGGGCTGAGAAAAGTGCCTCTCGACTCCTTCATGCTGAAACTCGCCTGTTCCCTCTCCTTCCCTGGACTAGCGGGGACTGAGCTCGGGTACATTTTCCCCCACCCCATCCAGGCTAGAAGGAGGTCCGGGGCGGGAGGGAGAAACCTCTTGTGAGCAAGGAGGGCGAGCTCGTCCTGTGGGAGCCACGACCGCCTATGCCCTCTCCCACCCCCCCACCCCTCCTCCCGACTCGCTCCTAAGCGGCAGTACTGCGGAAAAGGGGCTTTGACAGTAGGGCCCAGGCCTCCCTAATGAGCCGGGGTGTGAAATGGCCCCTTTTTCTGCGGGATTGCCAGTGCTTCCCTCGGTCGCCCAGTTAGCGCTAGTCCTGCCGCGCCCCAGGCGTCTGCTTCTCGCTTTTTCCCTTCAAGGCTAGGACATGCCTTGAAGCGCGGCAGGATTTCACTTGCGTCTCCCTTTCACCCCTTAACCTTCCCGACGGCTAATCTCCAGGCAGGCATGCTGTGCAGTTTGGCAGAAAAATCCCCGTTCCCTTGCCTTTCCCTCACGGAAAATTCCCGTTCCCAGATCCTCGGGGGAGCGCTGCCTGCACTCCATAAAGGATGCTCAGGAGTTGCCCCTCTTTATTTACTCAAGCGATAAGCTAGGGAGCCCTGGTTATCGGGGGCTGGAGAGAAGGGAAGACGACGAAGAGTGTAGAAGAGATAGGGCTGAAGTGGGTGGGGGTTGGTGACTGAAAAGCTCCTGTAATTAAGTAAACAGCAGAGTTGTTGTGCGAAGTAAATAAATAGTCAATGGTCCCATTGTAGAGCCGAGCGCAGGCGGTGCAGACCGCTATGGGCTCGCCGCGCTTGTGCTCTAGTCGTTGTGACTTGCAGCTTAATCGGCCTAGCAGCACATCCCTTAATTACTTGCAACGCGCTTCCATGGCCGACAGAAAATTCATTAGTCAGTTCATTTGCCTGAAGCTGTAATGGAGATAACTCTTGTAAAAAAAAAACGCTCAGCTAGAGAAAAGCGCCTCCCGCCGCGTTGGGAGGCTAAGGGAACCGGGAGGAGGTGCCACGCCGAGAGCTGCGGCTGCTTCTGGGGCAGCTGAGCGGGACGACGTGGCGGAAAGCGACCGAGGGAAAGAGATCGCCATCTGGGTGACCAAGTAATTGATCTTCACGATCTCTGGGAAGGCAAGGAGGGTTGACGCTGCGGCCAGGCAAAGGGTGGGAAGCTTTTGAGGTAGGATGAGCAGACATTTGTGCAAGCAGCAGATCGGGGGTTCCGTCCCTCTTCTATCGCTGGCTGCATTTGTGCTGATAGTATCCAGTGTTTTCTGACCAGAGCTCAGAGAACAAGGCAAACTAAAAAATATGTGACCCAAAGGTGTCTTTCTAAGATGAAAGAAAGGAAGGCAGGTGAAGAAAAGGTATGTGGCATTTCAGTCCTCAGAATGGTTCTAATATTGCAGATAGACTGTGTAATCATGTAAACATTTCACCTCAACTACACCGATGCAGAGTCTTTTCCCTTGTTGCCTGGGTTACATTTCCGTCCAGACATGGAAGCCTCAATGCTTTCCTTAGCCAGCAACAGTTTACACAGACTCAGGTCCTCCCTCAAACAGGTAAGAAGGTCTCAGTGTCACCAGTCCTGTTATCAACATGGGATATTTAGGGAGTTATTACTCAAATGAAGAAAGTTGTATCAGGAAAATTGGAACAGCAAGCTTAAGATCACACTGCAAGTCAGTGACATAATGGGAAAACATTCCGGAATTCCCTTTTCTCAGGCTTTGAGTACTGCAAACCCCCAAATTTCAATGCTGACAAAGTTTACTATTATGTTTCTTCCTAGTTACACTGTGTGAATTTTGAATTTTATCAGTATTGACCACCAGAAAAAAACATATAGGAAAACACGGGCCCAGTTTGGCAGTATTCAAAATAAGGTGTGCCAGAATATTTGTCATAAAAGGTCTTGGACTCTTACAAGAGAAAACCACACACCCCCTCCCCCAAAAAAATCAAACAAAACCTAAAGCAAAATATTATATGGGTTCACTTGGTTTTCCAAGCATTGTTTCTAAATATGTAGAATGAAATATTCTGAGTTTATCACATTCCCATCCCATTAGATGCATTTACACCTCAGAGTTAGAAGTAATGACCCTTGTAGCCTATTTCTTTTAAGATTGTCCATATTAAATTTCCTAAGGATGGCAGATAAATTCTTTTTCCACAGAATTTTATCCCTAGTACTCAGTACATCTGAATATTTAATACTATTTTTCTTTCCTGCTTTATCTTTCAGTTTGAGTCAGCTATGATAATGTAAACACTGACAGAATTTAAGACCTTTCAAAACTTTCCATGGATTTTTTTTTTCATTTTATTTTATTTTATTATCTTTTAAATGCCAGAGCTACAAAGACTCCAAACCAACCAAAATAATCTCCTAGGGATTCCAGATGCTAAGGCTCAACAGCTCTAAGCAAATTCTGTCCAAATTAATGACCTAAAATTGAGTACTAACACTTCTTCAAGATGAGTGGTTCAGAGCTTGTGCCCTGCCACAGAAAACACTGAAGCAAATTTTTGGAGTTTCAGATTGCAGTCAACTGAATATTTTGTTCTTCCTGCCTTGGCCTGTTTGGCCAAAGAAAGTCCTCCCAAGTTTTGGTTCTTCACAGCTGGCTGCAGCTTTTAATGATGACCTTGTATAGTCTTATTCCTGGTCAAACTGGCTGCATGCATCAAATCCGGTCCCTTCAAACAGAAGAGTGAGCCAAAGCAGGATGGAAGGACAAAAAAAAAAAAAAAATGTCTGTCTAGAAGAAATAAAAATCTGTTCTTGCTTCATCCACTTGAGGGAGACAATGAGCCATAGGTTACATCACTATGTCAGTTTGATGGATCAAAAAATTGAACTTTCAATTTATGAGGGATTTGTACCCATTGAGTGTTATCAGTAATTTTAAAAGTACTTGCCTGTGTAACACCGCAGGCACAAGGTTTCTCATAGCATTCATCGATCTGTAAATCTGACAGTTTTCTTCTCTCTCATTACTGTCTAGCAAGATGGGATCATCTAATGACTTTCACTGATAGGTCCTAGGCAAGAATGTCTAGAGCCATTCCAGACGATATCAAATAACTCTGTAATTAATATCTCATGTTAGAAAAACCTGGCCTAATCCAAGGTTTACATGTTTATTCACTTTATGTTTCAGAGATACACTAAAGTCCATTAAATTACTAACAGGCTTAAAATATTACACTACTAAGAGCCATAAACTAGTAAAAAATTTCCCTGAGTCTGAATAACTTTGACTATAGAGGCATGGCTTGGACATTTTTTTTTTTTTATGCCAGCCACAATACAGTGCACAATATTCTCCAATGGATTGCCATATTTTGCAGTCTTCCAATGAAGGCTTTCATGAATTAGCAATCCTTATTGTTGCAAAATTCTGATGTTTGCCTTTCACAGATTTATGCAATTGACACTCATCACTCTTCTTCTTACCTGCAGTGGACATAGGGTTGTGTTTATTCCTTTCTCTAAAAACACCTTCTGAACATCTAAAGAAATATTATGCAGGAAGCTAGATATCACTCCTATCTTCAAAAAAGGCAAGAAGGACACAGGGAGCTTCTGTACAATCAGCCCCACGTCAATTCCTGGAAAGATAATGGAGTGGCGAACCCTAAAAAACATTCCCAGGAACACAAAGGATAAGAAAATCATTATGACTAGTCAGTATGGATTCACCAAGGGGAAGTCAAATTTGACCAGCTTGATAAACATTTAAAATTGTCTGGCTTGGTGTCTGAGGAGAGAGCATTGGATATTGCCTACCTCAGCTTCAGTAAGGATTTCAACACTATTTCCCACAAGACCCTCATGAAGAAGCTGTTGATGTATGGGCTGGATGAGCAGACAGTGAGGTAGAAAACTGACTGAATGTGAAGCAGCTTGGCAGAAAAAGACCTTGGCGGACACAAAGTTGAACATGAGTCAGAAATGTGCCATTGTGGCAAAGAAGACTGATGGTATCTTGCACTGCATTAGAAGAAGTGCTGCCAGCAGGTTGAGGGAGGTGATCTTTTGCCTCTACTTAGTACTGGTGAGACCACACCTAAGTACTGTATAGTACTGTATTCAGTTCTGGACTCCCCAGTACAAGAAACACATGGACAAACTAGAAACTGTCTAACAAAGTGAGATGGTCAAGGGACTGAAACATCTGCCAGATGAGGAAAGGCTGAAAAAGCTGGAATTGGTTAGCCTGGAGAAAAGATGCCACAGGGAGGATCTTATCAATGTGTATAAATACCCGAAAGGAGAGTGCAAAGAAGATGGGGCCAAGCTCTTTTCAGTAGCACCCAGTCACAGGATAAGGGGCAATGGGCAAGTACTGAAACACAGGAGGCTCCCTCTGAACGTTAGCAAACACTTTTTAACTGACAGGGTAACCAAACACCAACACAG